AAAGTCATTTGATTGAAAATTAGAAAAACTAAGGTTCAATTCCTGCTTCGATAAAATTGTTGGGTTAACATTTGATGCTTCCATGCCTAGACGACATCCCAGGAAATGAAATCAAAATTTTCGCCAAAAACATCCACAAGGGCACTCCTTTCTGATATTTATTCTTCTTTTTATTTCCTTTTTCTGAACTTTATGTTGTTATTTTTTTTGCTGCTGATTTTTATTGAAGCCGAAATAATCATAAAAAAATTCCTTTTTACTTTTCACATTTTCATGTTACTACCTTCAATTTTACCTTACTCTTGTTGTTTTATCGGATCAGGAGGAAAGAGGAACAACTTCTTTGCGTTTCCTGAAATACAAAAGTTAAAAAAAAAATTGATTTATGAGGAAGATTTATAAAATGAAGTGATTGTTATTCAATTTTGTTTGAATTTCAATAAATTTAAAATCGAAATGATTTATCAACTGTAACTTGTAAATGGTTAATAATTTTTCATGCTTCAAGGAAGGCTGAATTTGTTGTTGATTTATTTTGAAATTCTTGGTAAAATTTATCATAAAAATTGCGCAATTTTACTTGTTTTTGCTTCATTGTCTTTTGTGTAGGATTGAAAATACCTTTGCATTGACTTATTATTGCTACTTCAATTGATTTATAAAGTTCTTCAATAAATTAAAACACAATTACGTCTATAAACAATTAATTTTGATTACTTATAATTTAATTGATTAAAATTATCATAAATTAAAATTTTAAAGCATAGCTAGTTGTAGTTTTCAATTCTATAAGGGGTCGTACACTTAAGACGTCTGATATTAACAATCATTTTTCAAAACAGAACAATGGAGTTCCAGGAATTTTAATTGTTCTTTTTTCAAAATCAAAATCAAAACCTTTTTGAAATGATTTTAAAAAGGGATTTTGATTTAAATTATTTTACCAAAGTGATTTTTTTCTTGATTTTGATTTAAATCATTTTTGCAAAGGGATTTTTTTTGGGATTTTGATTTAAATCTCTTTTATGAAAGATTTTTTTTGGGGATTTTAAAATCCCTCCATATAAAATTTTTGTATGCAATTTCTCAAATTATTTTTCAAATCAACAGTTTTCAGTTGCAGTTCCTCATAAGTAAGAATGCAGTTGATCCTTTTTCGAAAGGTTACAGCAACCAATGGTTCCATGCTGTTTGACTTATATGAAATCCAATTCGTGATTTTTAATCTTCTGTGCCTTGCTGCTTACATTTAAATAACTTGACTTCATGAAGCATGCCTGAATCTTACTCTATATGAGGAACTACCTGCTTTCATTACTTTTAAAATCTTAAATGTCTTTTATTACAGTAATAAAGTAGTCTACGTTTGGCATAAGCAAGAATAGGCACCTGAAAATTCATCAAATATGACTGAAAACTTATGACTTATGACTTATGACTTATGAGGAACTGCAACTGAAAACTGTTGATTTGAAAAATAATTTGAGAAATTGCATACAAAAATTTTATATGGAGGGATTTTAAAATCCCCAAAAAAAATCTTTAATACAAGAGATTTAAATCAAAATCCCAAAAAAAATCCCTTTGAAAAATGATTTAAATCAAAATCGAGAAAAAAATCACTTGGGTAAAATGATTTAAATCAAAATTCCTTTTTAAAATCATTTTTCATTGAGTTTTAAATCAAAATCAAAAATAAATTCTGCGATTTTGATTTAAATCGCAAAAAAAATCCCCACCCTGGTCATAAGTGAACGGCCCTCAATTGAACCTAAAAAATAGCTTTTATATTTATCACGTTTCATATTTCTCACTCAATATGAATTCTCATTTCACATCCACACATTTTTTTATATTTAATTTTAAAAACTTCGCAAATATTAAACAGCACAAATTGAAGTAATAAAACTCAGATAATTATCATACAAAATTTGTTGCTGGATTAAAACTTTTCAATTCATGAATTTTCAGTATAAATTTATGTATGATGTTGACACATACATGTCATACTCTTACCAATTCCCCCTACACACTCCTCTCATTTAATTTTCCAAATTGAGGGGTGCTGCAGAAAAAAATAAAAGTTTATTTTATGAATGAAATGGAGCCCATTGTGGATGTTTTGAGTGATTTCATGAAGACTAGAATTTTTGAATCTGAAATATTTTATGAATTGATGAATTAGGATTTATGGGAGGTGATGAGGAGGTCTAAGTGGAAGGATGGCTATGCTCTTAGATACTAGAAATGTTTGAGGTAAGGGTTATGATCGGCATATGCTTCAATGTTGCACAAAATTTTAGCCAGCAGATAGTTTAACTAGAATCAAGGCAATAAGCTCTTAAACATTCATCAAAGCTATCACTAGCTCATTTATCTTCACAAAAAAATTATTCATAAAATCCAACAAAAATGCTCGCAAGGAATTGAGGATTAAAAATCATCCCAAATAAACCATCAGTATAAAAAAATATGGATTTATTATCCGTTACCTGAACATGTCACTTTTTAAAGCAAACAAGAAAGAATAAAAATTATTAATTGGCAAACCAAATAAGGTCAGAAAGAATCATGAAACTTGTTGAGTATTATCCCAAAAACATATCTTTTATTTGCTTTTGAATGGATTGGGTTTCAGTAGCAACAGCAATAACAGAAGTGAAAAAAAATTATTCTCACATGAAATGAGTCAATAAAAGTCCACAAGGGAGTAATTCAACAGTTTGTAGACTCAAGCAATGCAACAACATGAATTCGCATAAAACATTAAATGTTACTTCTCGATATTAATTAGTGGCATTTCCAAAGAACATTAATTGTTATCAAAACGATGACGAAAAATGGGGCAAATTGTGGATAGAATAGTTCATACATCTAACATATGTAGCCTATGACATAAATATCACAACTTCCATTCATCATCATGTTATCATCCACATATTCCATTGGAATATCAAGTCAGTTGGTGGGGTAAAGGCATGCGCAGTTGAATATTTTGAGAATCTCTGGTAAATGTGAGTCTGAAAATACACGATGTACAATAGAGCAGTGTGAAAAATCAAAGGAATCAGTATATCCTTAAACATTGAATTGTTTAGACGCAATCAGGACAAGTCCGCAGATTCGGCACGGAAGTAAACAAAAAAAAAATAAAGATTTTTGTTTTTAGGAAGAAAAAAAATTTCAGAAGGAACATTCAAGGTTATTCAAATGTGAGAATCATGTGAGAAACTTTTATGCATGACAGTCAAGAAATCTTTAAGGAATGACACAGAATCACTGATTCAAAAGTTTTCTCTTGTGACCCACAACAAGATTAAAAAAAAAAAAATAATAAGAATTGTTGTTTGTGCTGCAAAGATGATTGATGTGATGAAATTATTTGGGTGTTGATTTTGAAGCTGCTGATCCTAAAGGACGCAAAAATTTAAAAAAAAAATAAAAATATTTTTAATCCCCATCGAATAAGTCATGAGAGTGAATGGCATGCGGCAAATGTGAATAAGGACTAAACGACATTTATTAATAATTCAATTGTGTGAAATAAAAATCACATAAAATAAATTATTTATAGCTTCTGAAAATTGAATTAGTAACTGCGACGCTAAACACAACTTTTGTCTGTATTTTTATCAAAATTTTCCAAGAACAAGCCTATGAGCAAACCAGAAAAAAACGGATGTAAAGACCGGACAGAAACGTGCGACGAGAAAAGGAAGAAAAGGAGTTTCATGTGTCAGTGTGATTATGGAATGAAAAAAGTTATCTCACACGCTCCATGTGACATAGATTAAACTTTGTAATTAAAATCAATTAGCTTAACATTTTTCGTCTCTGAAATGAATGGCAAAAAGTTTTTTATTTCTACTTGAATTGTCATATTTATGTGAGTGTCTATATAAAATGCTCATTGAATGAGATGAGTTTGGATGTTGCTGTGAGGTTGGAAAATGTTAGAGCGCATTTTTTTGGGGATTTGATTTTTTTTTGGAATTTATAATGTCATCTGAAAATCTAAATTAAAAAAATAAATTTTTTGTGGAATTCATCACAGACTTAGAAAGTCACCTAGTTGACATGATGTCACTTTTCATTAGCTACTCAACAGATAGACGTGACTTTTGGCTCTTAGAAAGTTTTTGCTTTCAAAAAAACTAATGACAGCTGCTAAAAAGTAATTGAAAGTTTCTTAATTAAGAACTTTTGACATGCTTAGTATGAGGATGTGATAATGTAAGGTGGAATTTTCGCTTACAAAGGATGTTGAACTTTAGATTTTCATTTCTTTTTGTCAAATGTATTCTTGGGTCTTAGCCAATTTTTGGCCTCTGATTGCATGTTGTCAGATGAAGGAGCATAGCCACAGTCCCTGAAGACCTTAGCCAAGAGTTTAGAACCTCATATAAGTAATGATTGTTTAATATCCAAACAGCTTATTTTGGTGACATAGCCAAATTTATGAATTATTAAGGAATGAGCTGTGTTTTAGGAACAGTATATGAGGAAGTGTGTTATTGGATAACCAGTGCCTTAGTCATGAAAATCAAAAAATGAGCATCATACATTTGACAACTCATTAAAAGCTACACAAGAGGATGTGGTACCCAAAAATCATTGCATCATCACTGACTCTAAAGAAGATTATTGAAATTCTCAGAGATTTTCATGGCTTTGTAGATTGATCCTCTAAAAACAGCTTTATCTAGTCCTTTAATCCTCAAACTTTATAAACCATCCCTCAAAAATTGCGCTAGAACAATTCCAAGAAAGGAACTGATGAAGCCATTTTTTCTGACTTTTTTTAATGTAATTTAAAGAAAGAGAAAAAAAAACTTTTTCAATTTCCTCTTCTCAGCCAACAATGAAAAAATTTTTTTCTCTCTCCTCACAGGCAATTAGGAAGGCTGAAAGCACTTAAAGAAAAAAATTTTTTTCTCTGTGTCTCGTGAATTATGATAATTAAGGCGAAAATAAAGTTGTATTTGAATTTTTACGAGTGAGACAGAATTAAACAAAATTTATTCATAGCTATTGTCACAGTAACATACATCCATTCATACACAGAAATTTAAATATTTTTTAAATAAAGTGTCGAGTATTCGCTCTTGTGGCAACAAAAATTGTGACAATAAAATAAAGCCAGAGTAAAGAAAAGTGGAAGAATCAACGTCAAATAGGAGGGATTTGAAATCTTTGCATAAATAAATCTCGGCTATAAATATTCATTAAATTGTTTGTGACGTAGAAAAAAATATAAAAAGAAATAATGGAGATTCGTCTCGTTCTACAATCATAACGAATGATAGAATTATTCTCATGGTAAAAAAAGATAGAACAACGATGATAAACGAAACGACAAATGTCTAAATTTTTGTGTGGAAGAAAAATTAAACTGTTATTGTTGCTAGTGTAGATGATAAAATGATAATTAAATTACACAATTGGATATATTTTCTTACGACGATAATGTTTATTATTGAAGGTAAGTTTTTGCTTTATTTTTCTTTAATTATTGTTTTTAATGAGTTTCCGTTTTAATGGGATTTTTGGCTTAACGATCGGAAAATGATTATGGGAGGAAGATTGACTCACAACGTTTCCCGAATAGCTAAAGTCGGTTAATCAAATAGAAATCCTGTGCTAAACTGGCATGTTTCTAGCATGGTGGAGGCTTCGATTTGAATCTAGCATTATGCTAGAATCACATTCATGATTGATTAACCGTCTTGGGATATTCGGATTCATTAGTTTTTGCATTAATATATCTTATCCAGAGTTGCCATACAGGAACCTGTGCACAGGTGAGAACCGTACGATTCCTTGATAATTTGTGAGGTTTTAAAAGAAGTTGAATGGTTTTGTAAGAAAAACCTTATAAATTATAAAGGAATTGTATGGTTCTCACCTGTGTACAGGCACCTGTATCGCAAAACTGATCTTATTAATATGGTTGGGGGCCGTTCACTTATTACGTTCGCATTTTGGGGGGGGGGGGTTGAAAAATTGTAACAAAATGTAACATAAGGGGGGGGGGGGGGGTGGTAGAAGTATGTAACGTTCTAACTGTTGTCTGTCTTTTAAAAAAAAGTTGTTTACAAATTCACACCAAAAACATTTTTTTCAAAATAAAATAAATTATGAACGTTCAGGGGGGGGGGGGGGGTTGTGAGTTGACATATTGTAACAAGGAGAGGGGGGGGGTGAAAAAAGTCGTTTTTTTGCGTAACGTAATTAGTGAACGGCCCCTTGGACAAAGCTGCTAAACTGGAACGATATTTTTGTTCTTGTAGTAAGGACTTTTCACAATTGATTTAGAAATTTCAAATCTTAATGCTGACTACATCTTATCTTATCAATTAGAACATTTTAAAGAGAATTGTAATAACTTTTGAACTTTACAAATAGTTGTCATCTCAACTTGAGTAGGAAATATTATTTTGGTAGGAAAACTACGCACTTCTCACAAATAAATTGACACCAAATAATTCCCAGTTAATTGTATGCTGACTTGACAACAGGATCCTTACTTATCGAACTATAAAAATTCTCTTAAATACTTAAGATTCCATTCACTTCGACATCACAGCTACTATAAAATTTGTCTTGTGAATTTCTTCTTATTTCGATTGTTGAACAACAAATTTTAATGTTTGAGACATGCCTTCAAGGCAACATTTATCCTAGGCACTTTTGTGGGTTGCACTTTTACAAGTCATTAACATTGATAACGAATTTACATAGCTGTCAATGAATTAGTTTGAATATGCCAGCAGCGATGTCTCCTAAATTCAATATGATGCTCAAAAACAGTTTATATTTGATTCTTCCTTAAAGGCTGTTCAGTTGAATGGTCAGTTTAAACAAAAATTTACTCAAGTCAATCATTTTCTTAACTCAGTCCAAATTATGAGACTTCCTTTTGGTAACTTGATGGGAACAATAAATTCAACTCTGTCTCACAGCATCAGCATAATAAGTCGTCACAAAAACTTTTTTCCTTCCGATTTCCAACTCAAATTAAGGAAACTTCTGCCTCATAGATTAAGGCAATTTATTTTTATATGTCACTATCTGCTCAGTAATTAAAGCTCCTGGAAGCTCATTTAATTTGAATAAATTTCCTATTTGAATGTTGCCAACATGAGGACTTAAATTACAGCACAAAAAAAACTATTTAACGTGATTCTGAATATTATTTATGAAAGTAATTTTTATGGTGTTAAGGATTTATTTTTGGAAGTGAGAAAAAAATTTTCGGCTACACGAAAAAATTGAAATAAATTGTGGTTCCTTTCTGATGCAAATGAATCATAAGAAAAAAATGAAAATTCTATCAAGAGGAATTTATGCTAGGGAAATTTGCCAAAAAAAAACTATTTATTGCCGAGTATATAGCATACATGTCCATGGTGAATTCAGCGGGTTGCATATTCATACATAACTCGTAAGATTTATTCACATTTTGTGTAATTTATCGAGGAGTGGAAACATTTTTATAAAAAAATAATGAATTTTAAGAGATTTATTTATTCACCAAACAGGAACAGATTAATTAACGCTTTAATCTTTTCATACGGAAATAACTTTTTTTTTGGTTGTTTAAAAATTCATGTGGGAAAATTTTACATTGTTGTGGGAACACTGCATGAGATTGATATATTTTTAGCTCGGAGCATAAGAAAATATAAAACTTGGCAGAGAAGTTTTCTCATCAAATTAATCCTTTGGAGAATTTATGTTGTTTCGAAGCTACATGATGATGATTATGGATGGTACAGGCAAGAAAATGGTCAGGTAGAAAAATATGACTACGTAGAATCAAGAAAACAACTGTTTGTTGGACTTAACAATTTTTGGAAGAAAAGTGCTGAATGAAAAGGTTTGGGGGAAAGTTTTGGGAGTTTGGAAAGTTGATTATGGATGCTCAGTTAGCAACTTGTTAGATCCATTTTCGGTTCCTTTATAAATAGCTTCGTTTGCAATTTTTTAAAGACTTTATAAATTTTGTCATTTAAAGATTCTTTAAATGCTTTAATGTTCTTATTAGTTTATTGAGCATTTGCTTCAAACCTGAAGTGTTAAAATTGATTTTAGAGCCTTGGATAAGATGCCTAGTAACCGGTCCTAATATAAATTCAACATATATTTTACAATCGGACTAAGAACCATGCTTACAAGTAATGAAAAGCTCTGAATATTCCCAAATGTATTCACACATTAGCCTAAGGCTGCTTGCTGCTCTTCATACTCCATTGGCCTACTCATTCCAATCAATAAATGTAAATTCCTTAAAAGTTTACAAACAAACCATAATGACCATGACTTAATACAACAAAATCAAAACAGCTTGTGCCTAAACACGCAAATTTCAACTCAACAAATCATTCAAGAAACGCAAATAATAATAAACAAAAAAAAACAGTTCCATTCACATCAATAAAAGTCTAATAAATTCAGGCGACAGAAAATTTCAATGGGACATTAATGTGCACATACATCAATGTATATTTAAGGTTTCTCAAATCAACATTTTGATCAATATATTTTCGTACATGTTGACATCTGATTCAGCACACCTTGAGTATAGCCGTAAATAGTCCCATTCATCTTCTCTCGAAGACGAAAGTTTTAAATTAATTTTCCATTCAGCACTGCTGCTTTTCTAAATGAATAAAATTTATTTCACCTCAACTAATTTCACATCTTGCTCACGTCTTCCTACTATATTTTATTCATTAAAATTTTCAGTCGTGATGACAACAAGAGCAGAAGTAGCAAATTTTATAAAAAAAAATTCTCTTCTGTTTTGCTTGTTGTCGGTGTTATTAGTTCAACTACATTGTCGACCTCCCATCTCATTGAGTCTAAACAACAATTTTCTGTGTGTAGATTATAAATAGGAATTGTTTATTTTTAGCTCATGGCTTAAATGCTCTCTCATGGCAATTAATTATCGTCCATGCGACACAAATTTATATAATTTAAAGCTTTCAAGTGAGCTTAATGTGCAAAAAATTGGCCCCATGAGCAATTTTGTTGTTTTTTATGTTTTTGTTTTTTTTTTTCGTTTATATGGCGATTCCTCTTAACTTTATTCGCGTTATCCCATGTGGACTGAATACAGATTAAAAATATTTTTATTATAAAAAAATTAAGATGAAAAAATAATAATATTTTGGGTGCTTTTCAACGCAAAAGTTTGTCGTTTTGTGGGCATTTTGGGTGAGTTTGAATTATGAAAAATTGAGAAATGGGTGGTTCGGTATGGATATAAAATAAGTGAATTCAAATGAATGTTTATTTCTAATTTGGACTTTTCTGAGAATTGTTTTTCAGTTCTTTTCTAGAAAAAAGCTTGAATAATTATAAATTGAATGAGGAACATTGGCAGTTAAAGTTGGTGTCAGGTTCAAGACACAGTTGTATCAACAATAATAATGTAAAGATCAGATAATAGTTTAAGTTTGAACTTTAGCAAGCTTCTTAGAAACAACTGATAGCTCAGGGATAAAAGTGTGTGACAAAAAATCGTAATCTATCAGGTTCGATTCCTAATTGCGACTAGTTTGCATTTTCTGTTTATTTAGCAGTTCAATGTAAAGTTCCAAATCAAGTTTTACCATTTTTAACCTATCCTGAGCAAGCTATGTTCTTTCAAAATGCCTTTGGCTTGTAGCTTGAAAAGGATGAACGTGGACGCTGAGATATCCAAAATATTGTAGAATTCCCACAAAAATTTGCATTAAATTGGCAATTAATGATGTTAATCAGAATCGAATCAACAGTTTATTCTTTTCATTCCAAAAACATGAGAAACTGCATCTGTATTAAATAATGAATTGAAATATAATGACTCAGCATTTTAATAATTAAAACTGCGCCTTAATTACCATATCATCGTCGTTGACTTTTTCACATAAAATTAAAAAAAATAACAAATGGTTTTTTTCCGTTTATTTTTTCATAAACAATTTTCGGCATTTGTTTATCAGCAAGCAAGAGAAGCCTCGTTTTTATGATAATAACATAAAATTACGGAGATGTTTAGAACATTTTTCGCTGTATAAAAAAAGTGTTTTTATGATAACATCAAGCTCTCATAATTCCTTCTCTCGTTTAGCCTAATAATTTATTATAGCCATAATTTCATCAGTCGCCATACGTACAAAGGAAATTTTTGAGCTATTTTTATTTTTCATGAACTGAACTTTTTTTTTAATACAATTTTTTTACTCGTTTGCGGCGAAATACATTAACCCAGTTTTTATTCCTCATTCCTCATAATTTTTTTTATATAAAATTCTGATTGATGCATTTCGAGGCACATTAGTGCATATTTTATATTCCCAATTTTTCTGTAGATTTTTTTAATTTCTGATAATTGCCTTTTTCATGCAAAAATGATTATTCAAAAAAAAACTTTCACATATGTGTGTCAAAACTTGTCTAATTTTCATGTGCAATTATGAACTTGTGTGAATA